ACATTTATCTGGACACTGGTTCAGAACAATTATTTAAGCAGAAGTGTTAATTAATCATGACAAATGTTTCACAGTGATTTCTTACAGTCTGGCAAAAGAAGCAGAGAAGATATTATGATGTCTGTTTAAAACAGCTACAGAGCAATGGCCTTGACTGGTGTCTGGCAACTCTCTTATCTCTTCTTTTCCTTTCTGACTGAGGGCTTATCTAAGGCTCTGACTCTGACTAACACGGACGCCTTAGAGACAGGCAGAGTGTTCTTCCTGATGCCGATACAGGAGGACGGGCTAATTCTCTCTGGAGAAGAGCCGATGGCCGCAGGTTTTGACTCAGATAGCCAATTCGAGTCGGCTTGTCGGCCAGGGCAAGGAGCAAGCCGCTCCATGTCCACCTAGAGACCCAAGTCTCTTAAGTGTTTTCAACTCCCGAGGGGAGACTTTTATTTTGAGAGACGACCAGAACCACAGCTGGAATCTTTCTAGCCGGGCTGAAACAGACGAAAAGTCACCTAAACGACACCTTTTCGCCAAGGACCAGTTCTGGACAAGCTTCCTGAAGGGTCGTGGGGAGACAGTCTACACCAGGGGTGTTTTGAGCAGACATCACCAGGTAATGCTGACGTGTTCGTGGGTGACGTGTCAAGTTGAAGCTGAGAGCAGAGAGGACGTGCTAATCCGGTTGTAAACCTTTCAAAATTAAAAGCAGAAACACTAATTCTTAATTTTCTCACCTTTTCTTACCCTTTATCCTTGCCAACCTAAGTGAAGTGCCAGTAAATGGTTAGTTTAACATCAGAACTGACGTTTTTACTGTTTATATCTAGGTAATCTAAGTTTTAATGTGAAGAAAATTCGGACGCGGGTTTTACCTCATTTTAACTTAGACGCTTGTTATAAATAGCTCACAATCAGGTGTAATCTATGATTTGTTCAATTGTGTAAATAAATGATTGCATAATCTTTTATGAATCAACTTGAACTCGTCTGACGTTCCCTAATTGTGTCACTTCACTTTGCACAGACAAATATTAGAGTAATGAGGAAAACCTTGGTAAAATTTACTCTCATAACTTTGTTATGAGAAGATGTAAGGTGAGCTTATTTGCATAAGTAACTCATTCCTACAATGAACCCAGCTGGAGTGGGTTTTAGGCAGAATTAGCTACTATCTTTTACCTTTAGAGTCACAGTTTAAATCAGTGATATTCAGAACTTTTACTCCAATAATTTCAAATGCGTCATTTTAATGCCTATCTGACTGTCTTTTATGTCTATCTTTCTGCCACAGAAGTTAAAGTGATCTCATAAACCACTGAAGAGATTTTACTGAAACTTAAATTTATAAAGTTACCACACATCATTCTTGGACAACTGATTACCATTTGGAGTCAATCCACTTAAATTTATCCATCAGTTAATCAATAACCAACACAAACATGTCTACAACTCAGTCAGTTTTGTAGCTATTGAGCTAAAATGTTATGTGGTATTAGCTGAGATAATTCATAAACTTTGAGTGTGACGTCAGTATTACACATCATCCCTCAAAATAAAATAGTTCTAAACTAAATCTCTGCCATAAACTGCAGTGGGCGAATGCACTCCTCCAACAAATGTAGGCTTTTAATTAATGAGCAGTGTTTTGTTGTTTTAATGAACTTCTCTATTAGCAATATATATATATATATATATATAGATAGATAGATAGATAGATATATGAAAATGAGCCAGAAAAGGGTAAAGTGCCTTCTCCGGGTCGGTGAGGAGGTCCTGCCCCAAGTGGAGAAGTTTATCTCGGGGACTTGTTCACGAATGAGGGAAGAATGGAGCGGGAGATTGACAGGCAGACTGGTGTTGCATCTGCAGTGATGCGGGCACTGTACCGGTCTGTCGTAGTGATTTACTGATCGGTCTACGTTCTTACCCTCACAGATACAAGTGGCCAAAAGGAGTTTCCTCCGCAGTGTGTCTGGGCTCTCCCTTAGAGATAGGGTGAGAAGCTCGGTCATCCGGGAGGGACTCAGAGCAGAGTCGCTGCTCCTCCATGATGAGAGGAGTCAATTGAGGTGGTTCATCTGGTTAGGATGGTTTCTGGACGCCTCCCTGGTGAGGTGTTCCGGGCACGTCCCACTGGGACGAGGCCCAGAGGAAGACCCAGGACACACTTTAGGGACCATGTTTCTCGGCTGGCCTGGGAACGCCTTGGGATTCCCCCAGAGGAGCTGGCTGGGGAGTGGGAAGTCTGGGTCTCTCTGCTTAGACTGCTGCCCTCGCGACCTGACTCCGGGTAAGTGGAAGAAGATGGACGGACGGACGGGCAATATGAAAATGTTAATTAGTGCTGTTGCAAAGCCACCTCAACTTTGTTCTGGGGTTAAAGAGCTTTTTGTTGTTTTCATAAGCCTTGGCCAGAATCAGAGGCTTAAACATCATTATGTCTGCAGATGATAAAGTCTGCTGCTCTGCTCAAGCTGAAACTTTTTTCTGACTAAACTCTTTCTTTTCTTTGGCTTACCTGAGAGTTATTTAAAAGTCTCTGCTTTGTTTCATGGCTGTGTGTCCAATCATAACCACACACAGAGAGAAATATACTGTGAATCCTTCATTCAGCCTTTTTCAAAACAAAACGTCTGTAGTTGGTTTAGGATTTGCTGTGGTTAATAAGGTCAGACTCTGAGACTGTTAAGACAGTTATTTTTAACACACACACACGCACACAGATTTATTTTCAGATCCCTGTGGGGACCGTGGATTGATTTCCATTCATTTTTTGGGGTAATTTTATAGCCTAACTTTGACCATTTACCCTAAAACTAACCTAAACTCAATACACACTTTGATCCTAAATCAAACCCCACATGAAATTAGCATCTGTACGCATGGGAACTGGGCATTGGTCCTCAGGATGCACATGAAACCCATACAAGGCTGCCTTTTTCCAGAAAATGGTTTCTTCAATGTAGCAAACCCCACCACACACAGGTTTGTTTTTATCATTCAAGTTTACTTGCACAGCACATTTCAGCAACAAGGCAGTTCAAAAATGTTTTACATCAGAAAGAAAAACTAAGTCATAGAACACACAGTTACCAACTGAAGCATTACAGTTTGTCAAGTGCCATTGTTACACATTAAAATGTTGATTAATGTTTCTTTTATGTTTCAAAAGCAACTCTAAACAGGTGGGTTTTCAGTCTTGATCTAAACGAACTCAGAGATTCATCTGTTTTACAATTTTCTGGGAGTTTGTTCGAGATTTGCAGTGCACAGAAGCTGAATGCTGCTTCTCTGGTTCTGGTTGTGGGGATGCAGAGTAGGCCAGAAACAGAAGACCTGAGAGTTCTGGAAGGTTGAAACAACAACAGCATACCTTTAATGTCTTGTGGTGCTAAGCCATTAAGTGATTTATAAACTAATTTATCACTAACTAATATTTTAGTCTATTGTTTGAATTACAGGGAGCCAGTGTAAGGACTTTAGAACTGGGGTGATGTGCTCTATCTTTCTGGTTTTAGTCAAAACATGAGCAGCAGCATTTTGGATCAGCTGCAGATGTCTGATAGATTTTTTAGGCAGATCTGTAAATACACTGTTGCAGTAATCAATGTGACTAAAGATAAACACATGGATGAGTTTCTCGATATCCCTATGGGGATTGTGGATTGACTTCCATTCATTTTTTGGTAATTCTGTATCCTAACCTTGACCACCAACCCTAAAGCTAACCCACCTGACTCTAAAACGAACCTAAACTCAATTCACACCTTGGTCCTAAACCTAATGCCCCACCCGTAATTAGCAACCGTACTCACATTCGGTCCCCACGAGGCTGCCTTTTTCTGGAAAATGATTCCCACAATGTAGCAAAGACATGCCCACACACTCATCCTTGTTCTTCCATCAAACTGAGGACTTTGTATTGACTTCCATTCATTTTTGTAACTACAATTATGCATAACCCACGCATTTTCTCTAACCCTAACCCAGGGGTTTCCAACCTTCTTTTCCTTAAGAGATAATTTCACAACAAGAAATTGTCCGAGAGCTACTTTTTACAACTTTTAATTTTAAACTTAAACTAAAAGCACTGAATTTACAGGAATGTGCTTTTTGTGTTGTTCCATTCATATTTTATTGTATTTCACACTAGTAACTTAGGGTTTAACTGCAACAGATTTAAACACAAATAACATCAAGTGACAGGTCTCCGATTTTTTTTTTTTTTTTGGCACAGTTGCTGTGTTCGAAACGGTAGGCCAGGTCCTTCAGAGGACTCGGCCTCCGGGAGCAGAGTTAGCCACATGTTTTCTCAGATTGATAACCTGTGGGGATGTCTTGAATGGTATTGACTCCAAACATTAATCAGTTGTAGATGTGTATCCAACGATTACTTTCTGCAAGTTATATTGATACACTTACTTGATATAGTGATATTTTGCTGACCTTCTGGCCTTTAGAGAATCATGAACAATAGAACCTTACAAACCTAGAATTTCTAGATCTTAGTGGTAAAAATATTTCTTAATATCAGAACTGACATATGGTTACAAAGTTGTAAAAATGAAAATAACTTCTTGGAGGGTTTTATAGAAAACGCACTAGGCTAAAATATTTAATTAATTTAAAAACATACTGCTAATTTTGTCAACTACATGGCTTTAAAATACACAAGAAAAATTCCTTCATTTAAAATCAATTAAATTTTGTTCGTTTTAACATAAAAAACAGAAATATTAATTGTATTACTTTTAGTTTGTTAGCTCATTTCTTTTCTTTCCACATTTTAAACATTGCGGAAGTGACGTCATCGTAAACAGCCAGTTACAATGCTAAAAACACACTGTTAGCATGCAGCATTGTTGCCTGCTTTTAGAAACTTGCGCGCAAATTTAATAGGGAACTAATTCGCGATTTTCCTCTTTTACACTCACTATTACTGCGAACCATTAAAAACGTCACATTTTATTCATAAACACAGATATCATTAGCCCGCCACACACGTCAGCCTGCCTGAGGTAAACATTTCAAAGTAAAACCAACTTCCTTTTGCTATAATGTGAAGTTATTTTATTTTGACAAGCATGTTTCCGGCAATGTTTCAAGCAACTGTGCACTCGTGATCATGCTTGTGGACTCAACGGTTTCCTCGTCCTGAAGCGGTTTCTTAGCATTATGTTGTGTTGCAGTCAGACCTAAAACTACCTTCTTATGATCACCAAGCGGATGCTAAGCTGTGCTAATGTAGCGAGCAGCAGCTTACCGGACTGCAAGCCCACATTTTCAGCTGGTGAGTGGTAGCAGCTCGTGTGGAAAGGCTAGCTAATCATGTGAGTTTGTTGATGTAAATGTTGGAACGTCAAATTAAAGGTGCTTGTTTCTATTATTAGATAAGTAGGTGCTGTCAGAGCAAACGCTAATTTTCTTGTTACTGCCTGTTTCGGCTGGTGGACTGTTAAAACAGCAGCAGGACGTGATTTTCAGGTTCTCTCTCTCTCTCTCTCGTTTTTTTTTTTAATCGTAGTAACGTCGATTTCCTCCGACCATCCCAGGATGCTGTCAATCGTTTGGGTGGGGCTGACGCGGATGGCAGAGGACAGGAGCTCTTTGGAATAAGACAAACTTCGTTAGAGTCCTTTATTTATTTATTTTTATTGTGAGTCATGTCGAAGAAGAACACGGTGGCCGCAGCGTCCAAATACACCGCCACCTCCTCCAGCGAGCAGCAGGTCGTCAACGGCTCCGTGGAGCTGGAAGGTCCGTGCCACCAGAGCCCCGCTGCGGTCAAGGCCAAGATGGTGAAGCAGACGTCCAAAGAGAGCCTGCACCGCAGAAACACGGAGTGTGAGGTGTACGACGACGGGACCAACACCTTCTTCTGGTGAGTGTCGCTGAGGTCACATGAGTTTGTTGTCATCGTGTCGCCAAGGTTAAATGAAAGACGGACTCCAAGTGATTTACACTAATAACAAACACCGCGGCCTTTTATAGCAACAATTTACGTGGACCGAGTTCTATCTGGATCGATTTGAAATGCAGTGCAGCAGAAATAATCCACAGTTTTATTCATTTTACATGCAAACATTTCACAGCTGAGCTCAGGACTTAACGTAAAGTCAAAGCCGTGGTTGCAACTCAGTTCATTCCCTGAATTAAAAAGAATAAAGAAGTTCAATCATATATGTGTGCAGGATGTCTGGGTAAGGCAGCTCATCTGGAAATGTGACATTCCCTTTCATAGATTTAAAACTGCCTTTGCCCTGAAACCTGTCACTCCAAGAATAGTTTAGTTTGACTAGGCGTGTTTCCTCTCTGGTTTATGTGCTGGGTTTTGGAGTGGGGGTTGACAGCAGAGAGAACTGGTCCTTCTTGATAAAAACTGAACTAGATTTCCTTGTTACTGCATCTGGATTTCATTAAAGCTCCAATCAAAGGATCATTGGATTTACATCTAAAATTCCCTTTTTTGGAGTCAGTCTAATTTAATTCAATTCAGTTCAGTTCATTTTATTTTATTTATATAGCACCAAGTCACAACATGCGTTGTCTCAGGGCACTGTACATGAAAAAAGAACAATCTAAAGAAGAAACCAGCAGATTGTGTTGAATCACTTCATCACAGTCTCCCATCCTGAGCAAACGGTGGAGAGGAAAAACTCCCTGCTAATCAGGAAGAAACCTCCAGCAGAACCAGGCTCAGGACAGGCGGCCATCTGCCTCGACCGGCTGCTTGGAGGACAGGAAAGATTGTTGTTGTTGTTGTTGTTGTT